GGGTTTTCCATAATTAAGATTGCAACCAAGTGTCCATTATAATTTTTTCTTGTTTTATTGAGAAATGAGCAAGTGATAATTCCATTTTTCTTGTTTTATTGAGAAATGAGTAAGTGATAATTCCATGTTAAGTGTTTTAATGGTGCTCTGTTTATTTTGTAGGTGGGAAGAGATGAAGCATCCTGGGCTGCTGGATCACTGAGTTGTCAGCTGTGCCTTCTTCTCCACGAACTTACTAAGAATGTGTAAAAGGTGTTGGGGGTCATGGAGAGATCTAATCTGTATGAACATTAGTTATAAGAAGAGAATGGCTATTTCAGATACCAGTTGCAGCTGGTGGAGGAGTGGAGGGCCTGCTTGTGGTCTTTATGACTACAGAAGCAAGCTTAGATGTTAAATTTAAGGTTTCTTGCATGCAAATAACAAGAATAGAGAATTAAGGGGGACACAATTCCTATATACTTTCTGCAAAGGACTTTGTTTCTATCCATACTTTTAAATTCAAATCCTCTCAGTTCCACCTTCAGAGATCACTTGAGTCTAGCCTCAGTTCTAGTGGCAAGATAAAATCTGGTTCGGTTTTACCTATAATAGTTAAGTGGTGCCTAGAACAAGACTTCTTGCTGCTTCTTAGTGATTAGGGTTAGTGCTGCTGATAATTCTGGACATAGATGGCTGGAAAATAAATGAAGAGCAAGCACTTAAGTTACTTAAACCAGTTCAGATCAGTGAACATTCCTGTGAAGCATCCGAGCTGCTGCACTCGTATTGTGTTCAGTTGCCAGAATCGTGTTAACGAGGAACACAGGTGTCTGTTCATGGAATGCCTGTTGAGCTTGTTTCTGCCCTAAGCTCTAGTTTTGTTTTCACTGTGTATAATTACTATCTGTAATTAGTTACAGCCAGGGAAAAAACATCCAGTTGAAGGGTCTCTTCAAATGACAGTTGATTGGTGGCCTGAGTATTCCCAGAGCAGGGTAGCTGTGCTCTGCACTGCAGTGGGTGTACAGGGAAAAGGCCCAGTCCAGATCTTTGTCTCCTGCAGACGTGGGAGGACGAATGTTGGTTAGAATTGTCCTTACACTGGAGATGAACTCTGTTGTGTCATGGCAGTCGTGGTGCTGGGTTTTATTTGAAGTCTTCTCCATGGATCAGTGATCTGTGGAGAGCTGGAGTTCCATGGTACAGTAATACCATGTTTTCCATTTTCCTTGTTTCCTCTCTGCACTACGTGTGCATCTGCACAATTTGTAGGTGTAATAAAGCAGAGTGGCCACGGGGGCCCTTTTGGTCAGTGCCTTTAATATCTTCTTGCCCTGGTACTTGGTGTGTCTGTCAGTTCACAGGAACCTGCTCTCCTTTCAATTGGCCTGTCATGCCTCGTTCCCTTCCTCCCATTTTTTTTCAACAAAGCAAAACGAAGCTTTGTACCATCTGAATGAACTTCAAAGTGGCTAGAAAGGGCACCCTGGGTTCCTGGCACTTGTCATTGTCTCCCTGCCTGGCCAACATTTCCCTTCAGGTCTAATTACTTCCAAATGCTCACAAATGCTTTGAAGAAACTTGGAGGGAGGGGGAGGCATGAAAGAAAGGTGGAAGAGGGAGACTCAAAGCAGAAGGAGTGCAGAATGCTTTAGCAAAAAAATTGATTGATTTCTTACTTGACACCCAGACGTGAACAGGGAACGTGAGAGCACTGTGTACAGCTCCTGCACTCAACCCTCCCTGTGGAAAGCAAGCCCTTCTGCCACTTGATAGGCTATAAAAGACATACCACAGCAAACAAAAAACCCCAGTCAAATAATGTTTAAAGTTTATTACTCTGTAGTGGATTAAGTGTGGGCTGAGCCCACGCTGCATAGGACTGTTAGTATCTTGGTTCAGGTGCTGTGTCAGGCTTACTCATGTCACACAAATCAGAAGTAGAGCTGCCTTGCTGAATTTGTACAGGATATCCTGTGGGGAAACCAGGAGCTGTTGCTAATGATAGGTGGTGAAATACTTGTGCTGGTGTTTTTGGTTTCCAGGATTGGAACATGCAGAAGCAGTGTGGTTGGGAGGAAGCTGCAGTGTGCCTTCAGATGTGCTAGTCCTTATTTTTTGAAGAGGTGACATCAAATATTATGATCTCCTTAACTGATTTTCTTAGCTGCTGTAATTATGTCAGGTTTTGTAAAGGGTTAGGTCCATAACTATCCCCTGCAAGTACCTGACATGGAAAAAGAAGTTTAGGTACACAAACAGCAATATCAGTATTCCTGGGGCAGTTTCATGGGTTAAGTGTAAGGGCTTTGCATCGCTGTGTTCCCTCAGGCAGTTCTGCCCATGCTTGTCCTTTGTGTAACTCAGCTGTCATCAAACCCAGTTTAACCACAATAATGAAAAATTGCTACCTTCAATAGCTAGACAAGAGGTCTTATTCCCCTTCCCTATACAAAGAGTTACTTTTAGCTGCTGCTGCTGTTCAATTGCTGCTTTACTGTGGATGTCCACATCAGCAGTTCTCTGTGTGTCGGGGAAAGGATCTTGAGACTTTTTAGGGCAGCATCTTTGGCACTGCTGTTTCAGTAGGTGTCAGGTGAAGGCAGAGACAGGGACCTGAAATCTGGAAAAGGCAAGGAAGTAGGAGTGAATTCTTTAAGGGGGACAGTACACCCTCACATTTAAAATGGTGAGCTCTTCACTAAAGGAGGAATTGCTGCAAGGATTCCTGCCCTGCTGAAGAGCAGTACCTGCAGATACCCGATGAACTGGTTTTGTTTCAGTATGACTTTGCTATAGTAGCTGAACTCAAACTCATCCCTGTGGTTTTAGGGCATTCAAAGGTAGTATCACTTGCCTTTTTTTTTTTTTTTTTTTTTGGCTATTGGCTTTTTTTTTTACCAATAGTTGTGGGGCTGACAACTGAACTAGGTCAGTTCCTTCACTGGATGTGTTGTACAGCTGAACGGTTGTTTTGGCTGAGAAGCCACAGTGCTGAGGGCTGGGCACTGCTTAGGCTGGTACTGTCACAGAACGTGTATGGAACGGCAGTTTTTGTGAGGTTTCGTGGTGGTTGTCCTGAGGGATGACCCTGATAGCGCCTAGCTCACAGTGACGTGCTGTTCCTGAGCCAAGGACTGCTGCTCTGGCTGCTGCTGCTGCTGCAGCGGGGCAGCGCCGGAGCCCTCCGTGCAGCCAGCCCTGTGCTCCTGGCTCCTGCCCACATGTGTGAGGTTTCTTATTTCACAGTGCCCCCCCCCCCGCGCTGCCAGAGGGGCCAGCCTGTCCCGTGATGTGGGATTCTCACACATGCTGTTTGTTATTTTGTCCTTTTTTCCTTTCGTCCTACAAAGATTTAGGGAAGAGGGTGGGTGAGGGGGAAGCTCTGCAAGTCTTTGAAGCAACTTGACTTCTGATGATGAATTGCAGCAAAGAGCCTATACAAGGAAGGGAGACTTGTTTTTAAATTACTGATGTTTCTTTGTGAGAACAAATTTATAGCAGAGGGGGAGCAGCCTCTGAGGAGAATATTGAATGGTTAAAAGGTTTCAAGCATTCTTTGATGTCACAGCCCGAGACATACTGGAAGGTAGTGAGGGACAGACACTGTTTATTTATAAAATAAAGATCAGTTACCTGCTTTTGGCGAGAGCCTGTGAGTAAGCTCCTGTTAATGACCTATTCATTAGGAAGGCTTGGAGCTGCACCTGGAGTTGCTGTTACAGCTGCCTGCTTGAGGCAATGAGAGCCCGAAGGCTGGATGGTATTCCCATTAAGTCATTAAGTCTTTCCATGCATCTCTGTGAAGCAGCACCTCTTTCTCACATTAGCTGAGAAAGCAACAGCTTCTTACCATGTTGTGAAATACAGGCCCCTGTTACCAGAAGTAAGGCAGCAAGATGGAAACCAGTTATGTACTCAGCTGAACAAATTAAGCCTGTGGTACCCTCTTTTCAAAAATGGTATCTGACAGCATCGTTGCTTTGGGCTGTGTTGTGCTTGGTAAAGGAGAGAGGAAACAGAAGCAAAATGGCAGAGGAAGAAAAAGCTGAGACTGTTTGTCCCAGAGCATCTCTGAGGCTGAGACACGTGTCAGGCCAGGACTGTCTGCTGACAGGTGACATGTGCTTCAGGAGGCCTCTAGAAATCCAGAAGCTGCAAATGAAAGAGCAGCAAGTGAGTCAGGACAGAGGCTGGGTTCTCAAAACAACTCCCGAAAGGACGAGGATTAGGCTGTTCAGCCCGTAGCCTCGTTCTGCTCCCATGCAGTTCAGGCCCACAGTCACATACCAACTGTGGCAATACTTTCTCCAGCTGTTCAATATCCACGTTGTTCAGGTCCTCTGCCTGGGCCTGCCGAGCTGCCCGTGCTGCTGCTTCTGCAGGGCAACGAAAGAAAGGGAAGGGCAGTGAGGGGGTCCGGGAGCTGTCACACCTGGGGCCTCCCGTCCGGGACCCAGGGCCGCTGGGAGGAGGGAGGCGGCCCGGGGCCCCGGGAGGCTCCGCACGCCGGTCAGGGCTGGACGGGAGCAGCCGCAGGGCGGCCGGGTGCCGGCAGGAGCCGGGAGCCCCCCAGGGCCGGGGCGGCCCTGCGCGCTCACCTCGCACGAAGACCTGCAGCAGCTCGGCCATCAGCAGCTGCGCGTCCGCGTTAACTGCAAGGACAAGGCGGTTACGGGAGGCGGGCGCCCGGCCCGGCCCGGCCCGGCCCGCCCCGCCCCGCCCCGCCCGCCGCCACCGCCGCCCCGGTACCTCGGGTCCTCCCGTCCCGGAAATGGAGGCGGAGAAGCCGATCCACGGTGTCCTGCGGAGAGAGGAACGGGTGAGCGGGGCCGGGGCCTCGCCCGCCGCTCGGGGCCCCGCTCGGGGTCGCGCCCGGGGCCGCCGCACCTTCCTGAAGCCGCCGGCGCGGCCGCCCCGCTCCTCCATGGCCCGCGCGCAGCCGGGCCCGCCTCCCGGGGGCGCGCCGGGCGGGAGCGCGCGCGGGCAGGGAGCGGTTCCGGGGGAGCGGTTCCGGGGGAGCGCGCGCGGCCATGGAGCAGCTCGGGCGCGAGTACGCGCGGCTGTGCGCGGCGGCGGGCGCGGCCCCGCAGGAGGCCGTGCTGCGGCGGCTGCGGGGGCCCGGCGGGGGCCGCCTGGACCTGGCGGCGCAGAGCCTCTCGCTGCCCACGTGCAGCGCGCTGGGCCGGCTGCTGCCCGGGGCTGCGCCCTTGGCCGCGCTGGCGCTCGGCGACTGCGGCCTGAGCGAGGAAGGTGCGGCGGGGCCGCTCTCCCTGTGGCGCGGGGCGGGAGGCCGGCCGAGGTGCCCGGTCCCTGGCCGTGCGGCGGGCGCGCACCCTCGGTTCTCCCTCCGGCGGCGACGGCAGCTCTGCCTCTGTTGGCCGCCGACGAACGGGACGGTCCGGCCGGTTAAAGTGGCCCGCAGTGAGGGGGCTCCGTGGGCAGCCCGTCCGAGCCCGCAGAGCCTCTCTAGACGTGGGGATTTTTCAGGGTTGAGTCGGGTAGATGTACAAGCTGACAGGTAGTTCTCTGCCCCGACACCTTTTTGAGAATATATAAACACTCTCCTGCCCTAAAAGCTCAGGCTCAAGCTTTCCAGCAGCAGTGGCACTTTATCAAATAATTTGTTTATGGCAGCCACGTCTCCTGAGCTGGCTGTTTAACAGAGTGATACCCTGGGATGATAGCTGGTTTAGGCAGAGAGTTTCACAGATGAAATAAACAGTTGTTTTTTTTTTTTTTTCTGCTCAGGTGTAAGACTTTTGTTGAATGGTCTTTGCACCAACACCACAGTCAAATCTTTGGATCTGAAGGTGAGTCTGAAAAGAATTAACCGTATTCTATGGTGGAGAAGGAAAAAGCACAGGCTTAATGAGAAAGAGAACTGGACAGTCCTGGTGCAGGATTGTTCAACAAGATGCATACTACTGTAAGGTTTTTGTTTTCAAGTGACTCATTCCTTGACTCGTTAACACCATGTCACAATTTTCCGAAGTTACTTTGCAGGTCATCTTTATCCACTTTTATTCAGTTACTCTGTTTTTATAGGAAGCTATTGCTATGTACCTTTTGTCAGTTGCTGCTTGGGCAGATGAGGCATACTTAGGCTTTTTTGGGATTTCTGTATTGATCAGTGAGTTACGAGCTGTTCTACTTGTGTTTATTTCTTTTGACTAGCGTGTGCTTTGAACTAAGCATCTGCCTTCGGATGTGATTGTCTCTCTACTGAGAGTGACTTTCTGTCTGTATTCCTTTGGCATACAGCTATTTCCACAGTCACAAACTGCATCATAACTTTCTTACTCATTTGTGCTAGTATTAACAGAGTCCTTCTTAATGAAGTGTGTTAAAATAGTTATGTCTATCTGGAATTGCTGTTTTCTGCCCCGTCGTGGTCCATGCTGATCCTGTGCTATTCTGTGATTTTTGCAAGCTCTCGGTCATGGTGCCCTCATAAGACCAGTGGTGTGTATGGATCCACTGTTCCTCCAGGGTTTTTCATTTTGTGGAAGCCTGATCGATACATGAAACAAATGTTGATTGGACCATTTTTGCCCAGCTGAAATTTGCGTTATAGCTGGGATGTGTCTGGTGGTGTTTGTGGTCTAGGTGGACTGGGAGAGGCTTGGCTGATCACCTGAGCTTCTGTTTCAGGGAAATAACCTGCGAACCACGGGAGCTGAGGCTTTGGGAAAACTTCTTAGGCAGAACAAATCCATCAGGAGGTAAAAAAATGTATCTACCTCTCTTTGTGCTATTCCTGCCAGATGGAGCCCAAGATTTGAAAAGGGTTGAGGGTGTTTTTTATTGGGGTGAGAGGAATGCCAAGTGGTGCAATTTATTGTGAGGGTTGGGACAGGCAAAGGCACGAAAACTGGAGGTGCTCTTTTGGAGGATGCTGGGCCCTGGCAGCATCCTGCTCTCTGAAGCCGAGTCTGCTCCCAGAGCTGGGTGTGTGACCGGGTGTGCCGTGATCCGTGTGTCGTTCAAGTTCACACAGCTGTCCATTGACTCCACAAACACCAATCCTGCCTGATTTCCCTAGCCTGACCTTAGAATGGAACAGCCTCGGTATGTGGGAGGAGGGCTTCTCCTTTTTCTGCCAAGGACTGAGAGCAAACAACTTTCTTCAACGTCTGGATCTGCGCAATAACCAGATTAACCATCAAGGGGCTGGAGAGCTGGCCATGGCACTGACACAAAATACCAGTCTTCAGGAGCTGGGTAAGAGTTCTTTGCCCATGTATACATATATGCATGCAAACACATATGTGCCTTCAGGTTTCTTGCCTCAATTTCTTCCAAATGGTTGGTGTCACTCCCAGTTTCTGTCAGTCTGGAGTGCTTTGATGGCTTTGTGCAGGGAGTGGTCACAGCCCCATGGCCTTTGGAGAGTGGGAACTGAAACTGGAATCTCTGGAACCAAACCTACAGATGAAAAACTGAGTACTTGGGGCAGAACAGTCTTCAGCGGAGGAAGAAGTGTTTTCATTCCTATTTGTGGAGTGCCTCATGACAGATTCTTGATACTTAATTCACACTCATTTTGTCCTTATATGGAATTTTGCTGGAATTTCAGGAGAATGTGGCTGTTGTCACTGATTCTTTCTCATCCACAGATTCTGTCTGTGGAAGGAAGGCTCGTGAGAGCCAAATGTGAGATGCAGACTTGTAACTGTCATGGCTTCCTGCAGTTTAATAAAGATTTATCCTTGTCTTTCCTGCTTTGTCACTTTCTCTCCCTGTCATTCATCTTGAAAGGGGCCACAGTATTCACCTGTGTTTTTGCTAGGACCATCTGGGATCTCAGCAGATGTGACTGCCATGGTGAAAGTTTGATTTCTGTGTAGATTTGCGATGGAATAACATTGGGCTTCTGGGTGGCCGAGCATTGCTGAACTGCTTGCATAGCAACAAGACCCTGAAGAGGCTGGAGCTGGCAGGGAACAATGTTCCTGGTGACATCCTGAAAGCTGTGGGTAAGTGTGATGTGTGTACAGTAATGAATCACTTAACTCCTTTCCCAGTCCAGCACTTGGGGGATATAGGGCTCTTGCTGCTCCAGAAGAGAGCTAACCCTCTTTCCCTCCCTTTCTCAATAGCATTTCCACAGTGCCCTGTGTCACCTTCTCTTGTCCTTTAGTGAGGGGTAATCAAGTTGGAAGTGTCACTTTGACTGGCAAAAACAAACAAAAAAAATTGGATTGAGTTATTAGAGATTGATGTGCCATGTGAATATGGGAGAACCTGAGACTTTGAGACTTGCTCATAGTTTGCCTCTGATGAGCCAAGTTTTGATGTGGCTTATGCAGCACATCCTGTGTCATTGTCCTGCCCACAGCAGAGTTAAGAGTTTTCCTGAGGCTAAGGAGTTGATTACCCCCCACACACTGCTCTCTTTGATCCCTTCCCACCTTGTGATGTATGGTGGGACTATCTCTACATGGGCCAGCCTGAGAAGGGCAATTGTCCTGGCGCTTCTGATATCCAGTGGTCATCCTGAGTGCTGTGTCTTCCAGCAGTGCTTGCTGTTCTGTTGCTTTAGAAGCTTATGCGTGTTCTGCTCTCTCTGCATCAGAACAAGCCTTGGATCACAACCAAGACCGTGAGGCTATCCTGAGCAAGGCCCAGAACCAAGTGAACATCCTCAGCAAGGAGGTTTTGAGTCTGAAGGATGAGAAGAACAAGCAGGTCAGCAGATGTTGGCAGTTCAAATGGGGTACCTGGAATCCTTTGCTTTCCCTTGAGGTCCCCCAGAACACTCAGTGGCAGTATTATTGTGCCCCTGAATTTGCGCGTGCATTTTTATGGGCAGGCACACAGCATGATTTAGTACATTGAGGCTCAGTCCTGTGAGCTGGGTTATTCGAGTGACAGTGTGAATATGGACATCCCTGCCGAACATACTTACTCTGGGTTCTGGAGGAGTTTTGGTTATTTGTGCTTTTGTTCCTTCTTTTGCAATTTGGTATTTTCCAAGTGGTGTAAACTTAGAGATCTGTTTTTCCATTTGACACCTTGGGATGCAGAGTCCCTGTAGCTGATGACCCTATTCAGATGTGCTAATAAACTAATCAGACTTCCACTTTGCTTCTGGTAGAGTGGCTTGACATGTCTTCAGCTGTTGCTGGGAAGAGAAAGATGAGAAATGTAAGGGTTTGTAGCTGATGCTGTTAATTTTCTCACTGAATTTTGCCTTGCTCACAGTTCATGGATTTTGTGGATACTGTAGACAAGCAGAAAGAAGAAAGAGCCAGGAGTGAGAAGTGAGTTAGATTCTAAATGTTTTCTGCTCTTTGATGGCAGAATTGAGCACTCTCCATTTCCTGGCAGAAATTACCCACCTTTTTTTTTCCTTTTTTTTCCTCCCAAATGCAGAATGTCTGCAGCACGAGTCAGCCAGCTGCAGGAAGCATTGGATGAGCAGTACTCCATTATGAATTCACTGAAAACCAAGTATGGAGCAGGAAAACCTTTGTCTTCCCACTGTTTGTGCTGTATAAGCAGCGCCAAGCAGAGCTTCTAAGAAAGGGGATAATCTTGTAGGGTAGCTGGATTACTATTTTGGTTAGTTCTGCAGTAATATCCAGAAATTACAGCCAGATCAAGCCTTTGAGTTTGCCACACTAGATACTTAGCTTGCTTTTAAGTAAAATTACTACATTGGTGTAAAAGCAAGTGAATTACAGAAGGTGGGAAGAAAGAAAAAGGACTGTGCAGATAGGATGGGGACATGTTCCTTGCATGGTTTACAGCCTGGCAGGAATCTCTGCCTGTTTCCCCTGGCAGCTGACGGTGTTCTCTGGGAACCACTGCAGGTATGGAGGAGCCTGGCTTGGGAACGGTGAGGAAGGGGTGCTCAAAAGAAGTGTTAGGTTATGCAGAGCCATATGCACATGGCCGTGGTTTGACTTCAAACACTGCTGAGCCTGCTTAGTTTAATTCTGCCAGGTAAAGGCAGTGTTTCATGCCATGCAGTGATGTGGACATGTCCCTCTTGGACAGAACAGGTAAATTGCTTCTGCTACTCACATTTAAAATCCTGTCTCTAATTGTAAACAACTTTGCAGTGATACAAAATAGCCAGCTTTGTTCTGTGGGAGCAGGCAAATCCTGGAGGGGTCTGGGCAGGGAAATTGGCTCATGGAGGACAGTGCAGGGCTAATGCAGTGAGCACTAGCACACTGGGCCCTCAGAAGTCCCAGGTCACTGCAGTGCTGCTGTGTACAGAGGTCCGTGGTGTCCTTTTCCCAGAAGCAAAAAATGCCTCATTTGGGTAGCCTGATTTCACCTACTGCAAGATGGACATTAGCACCTTGTACCAGGTGCCATAGAGAGCTTGCTGCAGTGTCTGCCTTGGAAAAGGCTCCATAAAGTGATTTTCTTTATAGGCTGCAGATGACTGAAGCTGCCCTGACTCTGTCTGAGCAGAAGGTGCACACGTTGGGAGAGCTGCTGAGTGCCATGAAACAGGAACAAAACTCTGTGGCTGAGTCCCACTTCAGGGAGCTCCAGCAACAAAAGCAGGTGAGCTGGATAAGTCCTAGTTACGTTTGGGAGCAGGGCTATAGGTCATAACTGGTTTGTGTAGATTTGGGGGATGCTGGATGCAATAGGCAAGCATGATTTTTACCATTACTGCTTAGCTAAAGCCACCATGACAAAAATTCTTGTGTAAATTAGATAGATAGTTGCCAGGTGTGATGAGGGGCCCTGTTATTTATGGTGTAGGTTGGACTTAGCTGGGTGTGATGTTGGTTGGCACAGGCTGGTAGTGCAAGAACTAGGGGTAGTACAGGTTTTTAATTTTGGTTCTGTTTGCAGGAAGGTGCTGATCGGGAAAGCAAGCTTTTGCATGACTTGTCTGCTGCCAGTGAGAAAAACCTGCTGCTGAGAAATCAGGTAGGAAACCAAGTCCAAGTTTGAGAAGTGGCAATTGAGCGTGTATAACATTTGCTCCGTAGATGTTATGGTCTCTGCTTTGATCCTTGGTTGGGTGTCACTTCATTGTCCTGTACAGCCAACTTTTTGTGATAATAGGAAAAGAAAAACCTTTGTGGTGGTAACTTCCTTATGTAGGTGGATGAGTTGGAGAGGAAGTGCAAAGTTCAGCAGGATCAGCTGTTCCAGGTGAAACAAGACTTGACCAACACAACAGCAGAGCTGAAGCTGCGGGCTGTGGAGGCTGAAGGTGAGTGGGGGAGTAGAAACAGCTTGGGGACACCTGTGGTTGGGATCATTGTTCCTTCACAGGCAGCCGAGGAGAAAGGGTTGCCAGAGTGTGAAAAAGTATGAATACAGCTGTGTGGCAGGCATGCCAGAGTTGTGATATGCCTGCTTTTGATCTGCAGAACGTCTGGAAATGGAGAAAAGAAGATTTAAACAAAGCCTTGAAGACATGGAATCCCTTCGGGTAAAAGAGGTAAGGGTGGGGTTTCTGCAGCATCCTGGTTAGTCTTTCTTTGGTCCTGACATACATGACCAGTGGAGGTCATTGTTTGCTGTAATGTGCTCTTAAAAAAGTTTAGAACTTAGTGGGCTCAGATTTATTGTGAGAATAATGGGTCATTTCTTCAAGCAAAGCCTGACTGAAGAGATCACAAAACTTTCTACCAGCTAGTAAGATTTTCTAGCTTTCAAGAGTATGGGCCAGAGTGGTATGTGATGCTACAAGAGAGGCTGGGAGGCTGCCCTTTGTGTTGGTCTGTGCACAGAGGTAATTACAAATGAGGAATTTTTTCCAGCTTCTGAAATAAATACATTTGAATGTTTTAATTGCTTATACACAAGCAGTCCTTTAACAGGGCTCAGCATAGTTCCTCAGCTAGTTCCTTCTCTGTTATGTTTCAAAGGGGGTTGTGTCTGAGTGTGGACAGGCCAACAGACTGCAACCAATTATCTTTGCAGTGTTACTGAGGTTTGAAATCTCTCCAAAATAAAATTATACTAATAGATTTCTCTGAAGATATTGAAATCTTCTAAGAAAAGTCACAGGCCAGGAAGATTTTACCAACATTACAGCTAAAAGTTTAATTTGTTGTGTTTTGTATCACTTGACAATGAGAGCTTAGACTCCCTCCTTGTGGCCTGGGAGGGATCTCTGTCTAAAAATTCCTAGTTTCTAGAGGGCAGATTCCATCTGTAGTACTGTTTCCTGGTGGAGTTCTGGGGGAGGTAAGAATTTTGCTTTGCTGGTAGGTGGGTCAGTGAGAGGATGCTTCACTATCACAATGAGTAGTCTTGCTGCTTGCTTTGCCTGGAGGTGGAATGGTTTTCTGTCACTTGCTGGTTTCTGCTGCTTTGCAGGTGGATCGTGTGGCACAGCAGATGGAGGCCAGTGAACGTTCCATGCACGACAGGATCCAGAGGCTGGAGGCCATCAGGATATCTCTGGACGAGGTGAGAAAAAGTGCTCTGGGCACATTTGAACACTCAGGAAAGCTTTGTGGAGTCTCTGACTGTAGACCTTTGTGAAGATTGTCATGTGCTGTAAGGGGGAGCAGAAAACAGCAGTATACCAGCTAAAATTACTTTTACTGCTTTGGACTAAGAAAGAAGGTTCCGAGGAGAAACTTGTAAATTCAGATTGGACAAAAATGAGGATTCCATTGAACATGGTTAGAGTCTTACTAAGATTTGACTTTACAGGATTCTCATGTTGTTACAAGTAGTGTAGCATGTTCATCCATATCTATTTCCCCAGCTACATCCAGCAGTGCTCTTTCCTATTCCCTTTTTTGGAAAGGTTTAACCAATATGTGCCCTCATATAACTGAAATTCACATTGTACTTAGATAGCAGTCTTGAACTGAGGAAGGGTTTGTATCTTTGTTTGCTTTTGCTGCCCCTGAGTGAAGAGAGCTGTGTCATTTTATGGCCTGCGACTGGAAGCTGCTCGTGTTTCCTGGTCAGTGTGGCAGCAATGCAGCTTCTCTGTCTGGAATGATTTTCCATGTTCCTGTGGCAGGAGCTGAGCCAAGTCAAAGCAGCTGCACTAGCTGAGCGAGGACGGGCAGAGGAGGAGTTGATAAAAGTGCGGAGTCAGGCACGCCTGGAGGAGGTAAGGACAGACTTGGCTGTGGGAATGAAGTGGTTTGGCTACCCAGGCTGAGTCTTAGTCCTGGGGAGCTGCTAACTCACTCCTCTCTGGGTTTTACTGACCCACAAATGGTGTGATTGCTGAGGAGGGAGCCCTGAAAAGTCTAATTTGAGCTGTCTTCAGTACTAACAGAACTGATGTCAATATTGTCATGGCAGATTTAGTTTAAGCTGCCAACATCTGAAGCCAACACCCGGATGTTGATCCTTCTTTTAAATGACAACTTTAATGGGGTGCTCCTGTTCCTCTAACACTGAGAAATTTCTTCAGGTGGCTACTGCTGCTAGGTAAATAAAGTCACTGTCGCATTGAACTCTGTGAAAATGTCAATTAAGCTAATATCCTATATTATAGGATATTCATATTAATGAGTATTCACTATATTAACTATTAATATTCACTATATTAATAGTGAAACAGAACAAGGGATGAGGAAAATACACAAAAACTATTAGAATATTTACTTATTTGTAACATCACAAAAGAAAATGCTCCATTGAATTACAGACACAGAAATCTGACATATGGGATCCAGCAGTTGCTGGGTTGCATGCAGTGGTGCTGCAGAGCCATTTGAGGGATGGGGGAAGTGAAGGTGGAGCATTAGCTGTAAACACTGGCTGTGACATCAGTGCATCTGCCAAGGACCTGTCTCTGTTTCTCAGCTGAGTGTTTTGTCCTCTGCCAGCCACCCTGGCAAGAGGAAGCAGCTTGGAGTCACTCCTGAGTGCAAGGAGCAGGACTGTGTCCTCTGCTTGTCAGTGCCAGTTGATTCAATAAAGGGTTCACTGTATTAGGAACAGAGAGGGGAGAATCTCTTCACAGGAATGAAGTGGGACTGTTTAATTTTCATTTTCCTTTGTGTCTTACAGCAGCAACGCCTAGAACACCTAGAAGAGAAGCTGCGGCTGATGACTGAGTCAAGGGATGAAGCTCAGAACTGCTGCCTTAAGCAAAAGGAAATGGTTGCTGAGGCCCAAGCTAAAGCCAAACAGTTGAGCCTGTATGCTGATGGACTCAAGAGGAGGCTGGAGGAACTTCAGCAGGTAGTTTGGAGTGGAGTAGAGATAGTCACCGCAGGGCCAGAACAAGTTGCTGAAGTTGTTTAGTTGTTCATGGATTTGTCTTTGTGTGTCAGTACGTGGACAGGAAGGAAGAGGAGAAAGTGACAGAGCTAAATAAGGTGAAAGTGGAATTACAAGAACAGATTGGGCACCTGGAGGCTGAACGCACAGCCCAGGATGGGCTGAGAGAGAAGATTGCAGCTCTGGAAAGACAGCTGAAAGGTGAGGGGTCCTTTCCTGCTTCTCAAATGGTAACTCTGAGTTATCCTGCATCCAAATATTTGTTTGGATGCTCAGCTGTGCTCACAGGTAGTGACAGCAAGTGCTTCCTGCCTGTGAGTACACCTATGAGTTGTACTCTCCACCCATGTGTGTTTACAGAGATTCCTGTCCTCATTTTGTAGAGACCAAGACTCAGATGACCACCCAAAGCTGCATAGCAGGCAAAATTTGGATTTCCTGCGTAGTGAAGTGTGCCTGCTGCCTGTGCAAAACCTCTCATATTGTCTCATGCAGCTCCTCTTGTGTGCTAGCTGGCTGTAGCACTTCATTGCCTTTGGCCTGCTCCTGTGTTTTCCAGGGATACCTTGATTTTCTTTACTAATGCTGCTTTTTCACAGCCCTATCCAGTAATCACCGTGAAGCACTGCTGGACAAGGAGGGTGAGATCTCTTTGCTGCTGGAGAAGCTGAGAATGAAGGAGGCTGAGATCTCCAGGATGAGGGAAGAGGAGGCCCAGCGAGCAAGTTTCTTGCAGAATGCCATCATGGCATATGTGCAGGGATCTCCCTTGGGAACCCACAGTTCTAGGAAGTGAGACTGTGACTTAAAGGGTCCAAATACCTGCTTGCAGTCAGGGAAAGGGTGAGAATTCAGGTACAACTCCTTCTTCCTAAATGGACAGTTCTGTCAAGAGTGGGGTGATACAAAGGCTTGCAAATAGTCAAATGCTCTTGCTGTTCAGAAATCTTCCTCCTGACAGCATGAAGGAGAGGAAGAAACAACCGTCTGGGCCTGGGGCTCTGAGTCCATGATGTTGAGCCCCCTCCCTGCACTGCCACAGCCTATTGGTGCAGGAGGTTACTGGGAGGTTTCTGTGTTCCCTGGCAAGGTCCTGCTGCAGCATTTGTTTGGATGCCAGGCTGTTCACAGAGAAACGTGAGAAAAAGTGACAGGAATGTTTACAGGAGTGTTCACAGTTTGCTGTGGGCTGGAGCAATTTTCCTTGCTAATGGGATCCTGAAACTGCTGGAAACACCAGATATTACCCACTTGTGCTTTTTCACCCAGTGTTTACAGACAGAAGCAGAGTCTGATGGGGCCCTCTCTGCTTGTTTACCCTCTGTGGCTCTGGCCATATTGGTGGGCTGTAGAAACACATTTGGCATAGACAGAACCAGGTGCACCAAGGGGCTTGGGTGCAGTGCTGTCCATGTCCCCGTGGGACAGCTGGGCTTTGGCGGTGGTTCTACTTCTGCAACAGTGAGTGGCAGGGAAAGGTGAGCGGGCGATTGTGCTTCTTCACTGTGAACTGCAGCCCTTAGCTGAAGATTTTGTGGCCAGTATTGTACTATGGCTAATGGCAGAACTGTTCTCCTGGCTTCTCAGGCTCCTGGAACTGAGTGCTGTGGCCTTAACCTGGAGAGGAGCAATACTTCTAGTGTGACACTGGGGAATTGCTTCTCAGAGCACAAGGGAAGAAGGTGGTTCCTCTACAGACAGTGCAAGTCCTTGCATGACCTGGAGAAAGTGAAGGGTTGCTAGAGCCTGAACTGGAGAAAGCAGGAGCTATTGTCAGGCCAGCAGTATTGAGCCTTGAAGGAGTCCTTCCTGTGAGTCTGGGATGGGAACATACCCTAGAGTACATATTTTTAAGAGACACCTGGAAAACGAAAGTTTGTGTGGACTGGTTGCTTTATGTTCATTTTTTATATTGAGTTTTGCTCTGCTTAATAAAGAACTTTTGCATTTTGCCATTAGCACTGGACAGTGGCACACTGGATGTTTGGCTGATGTGGAGGGTGGGCCCTCTGCTGTGTTGCTGTCCTGAAGACCCTGTCAGCCTGTCCTGCAGCTAAACCGCTGTTACAGGTGGATGAGATGGGGATGGTTTTGGTTCAGGACTAAGATAAAAGCAAAGAAGCTGGAAAACTGTTCCCTAGTCATAACCAAGAGAACCTGTGTCAATAGCCACTTAGTTTGTGGCTGGTGGGCAGACCCACAGGTAAGGGAAAAGCAAAGGCTGTCGTTTGCAGACAGGGCCGCTGCTGTGGGCATCTCCTTTGCTGGCAGGGAAGGTGGGGGAAGCCAAAAGCCATCTTCCTGCAGGGTTTCCCTGCTCCGTCTCTGTTCCTCGGCAGCTCTGGGCCGATGGCGCGGAGCTATGCAGCTACAACGTAACCACGTTTAAAGCTTTGTCCCTGAGCCGGCGGGCCCCGGTGCGGTGACCGGGCCCGAGCAGCGCCCGCCGCTCCTGGCGGGGCGGGGCCGCCGCTTCCCCGCGCCCGCGGCGGAGCCGAGCCGGCCCGGGCGAGCGGCGGGGGCGGAGCCGGCGGGACCTGCCCGGTGCTCGGCTCGGCCCTGCCCGGTGCTCGGCTCGGTGTCGGTGCTCGGCTCGGTCCGCCCCACCCCGCGGGCGGTCACTGCGGCGCAGTCGCGGCGCCGCCATCGCGGGCAGATGCAGGCGATCAAGTGTGTGGTGGTGGGCGACGGGTGAGTGCGGGAGGGGCCGCGCCCCGGGTCCGCAGCCACGCACCGGGCGGCCCGGCGGCGCCGAGGGGACGAGGGAGGGAGGGCTGGCCCGGGGCAGCGCCCGGCAGAGCCGCTCCGCCGGCGGCAGGCCCCGCGCCGGGCGGCGAGGCTCGCTCCGGCCTGGCTCCACCGGGGCCTGGCTCGGGCGGGGCCGGCGGGAGCGGGGGGCCTTGCGGCGGCCCCGCAACCCTGCCCTGCTCCTTTCGTGGTTCGTGAACTTGGGTGCTGCCTGGGTAGCAAACACAGCCTCCTCCTGGGTTTTACGTTTGTCTCCTTGTTGTTTCATTTGGGTGCCGGTATTTTGCTATTTTTCATTGTACCTACTTGATTCCTGACAGAGTTCTCCGAAAATCTTGATGATCGCAGGTCTCCTATGTCCTATTGTTGATTGTTCCGAGGTGAAATGCATTTCTCTTTCTGGTTTCACCATGTGCTCCTTGTGGCCCTTTTTACTTTTTTGTTAAGGCTCTTCCTAAACGCCTTCTTTTTTGGGAAGATGCAGGATGCAGGCATGCACTAGATTTATACTGCTTTATAACTTTCCTAGTTAGTCCTGCATATTTTCCCTCACAATTTTCGTTTACTTTTCTGATCCCCTCAGCAAGAACGGATCTGAGGTACTCAGACCTAAATGTGAACTGGTCTTAGGCAGGGACTAGACTTTCCCTTTCTCATGCATGCCATCCCCTCAAATACACATTTGTGGTGAGGCCTTCCAGGTTCCAGCCTGTGAGGGCTGAAAGGGAGTAGGAGAAAGTACAGCCTTATTGCAGAGGGGAGAGTGACTGGGAGCTCAGGATGTTGCAAGTGGAGCTCAGCTGAAGGTTTGCTGTCCTGTGTTTTGCCTTAAGACTAAATCAGTAGTGCAGACTGAAAGAAACACGTAGATACACAGGTTTTTGTGAATTACAATTGTCCCTGTTTGGTGAGAAACTGAAGTCACACTTCAGGAGGAAAGTTGGACCAGTCAGCCTAGTGGTTCATGACAAAACTTCTTTCTTCTCAGACCAAGGGGACCTAATCTAAAGGAAAAGTTGTAATAGTGGTTTGTTCTCCCTGTGCTTTCTGTCATGCTGGTGTGTGCAGGGGATGTCAACTTTCTTCCTCTCTTCTGACACCCTCTCTTACGTCAGTCTGGCTGCAGAATTGGGTAGGGGATACCCATTTCTGCTAGCTGTTCAGCTTCACCCAGGCACCTCAAAGCCAGCTTTCCCTGGCACTGGCACTCACAGTCTCTTTCTCGAATGTCTGCAGTACACAGCTTTCTCCATGATACAAAGGTAGCTCACACTGCTGGTACTCCTCTGTTCCTACAGTGAAGCTTAGGAAATCTGCGGAGCTGGTTAAAGGCCCTGTGCTCATTCTATTGCTGGCCTGGCCCTTGCCAGCTGCCACTGCCGGGCTAACCAATCCCACCAACCTTCAGCAAAGTCCTGAGCTGGTATTTTTATCCTTTTTCACTAATCTTTTCCAAACTGCCTGCAGTCAATTTTAAAGTCCATTTTTGTTTATGGATACTTACTTTTTCTCCTTTGTGTTTATTGATACTGAATTCCTGTATCTGAGAAGCTTGCAGATCTGCACTGTTGCGTGCTTTTAACCTCACTGTTTATCCATTTTGCTGAAGTACTGTGCCTCTGTTGAGCCCAGCACACAACTCTAATTTATTCCCCCTCTTGGTTCATGAAACCAGTATTATTTTGACTGATGTTTTGCTGAATGGGTAGGGAAAAGGAGTGGTAGAGAGCAGGGTTAGGAAGCACTCAGGCAAGGTGCACCTTTTGAGTTCAGGCCATATCTGTGACAACTAGGGGATTCCAGCCTGCAACAGGTTTGTTTTCCTCATATGGTAGCTTTTTACCTAACCATGTGTTTTCAGTGTGGGAAGAGTGAGTTTTACTGCCTTAGTACTCCATGTTGTACCCTTCCTCATGCTTGTCACTCTTACCCTCTGCAGAGCTGTAGGGAAGACCTGCTTGCTGATCAGTTACACCACAAATGCCTTTCCTGGAGAATACATTCCCACCGTGTAAGTAATAGCTTGGGCTTCAGTTGCTTTTTGATCTCTGTGCTTGTGTGTGTAGAAGTTTGGTTTGTGCGTGAGGAGGTGGCTGTTGCAAATCAGACTGTGAACTTGACAGGTAAGGATGATGCTGTGGCTGTGTGTGTGAGGAAGGCAGATTGTCCCTACTGGAACTGTGCTGCAGTATCCTTTCCTGATTCAGTGCCCCTTTGAATTCTGTACAAAGATGTGAAGGCCACCACAAAATTGTCACTGATGGGGACTCCTCATTGGCAGGTTTGATAATTATTCTGCCAATGTGATGGTAGATGGAAAGCCAGTGAACCTGGGCCTCTGGGACACAGCAGGACAAGAAGACTATGACCGACTGCGGCCTCTTTCCTATCCACAGACGGTGAGTGCTGGGCTTGGACTGCCTTGGGACTGCTCCCTCTCAGGGACAGGGAGGCTCCCAAGGACAGGCATGCTTCCTTCCTTGGAGGAAAGTCTGAGTTCCTGCAGCTACACCCATAATTCTGGTTGTTTAAGAAGTATCACAGCTGATTTTCTCCTAAGACATTGTCCTGTTCTAGTCTCTTCTTTGTAATGATCTTTGAAGAGTTACGGGTGCCCTAGGGAGGCTCAAGTAGAAGGAATGCTGTAGGGCTGCTGTGCAGCCTAGCCAGTTCCATGTTCCCATTCTCTCTCAGCAGGGCATATCCCCGTTGGGCTGCCCTAGGAGTGTTTCTGGGTGTAGCAGTTCCTAAGCAGCTGTGCTGCTGGTGAAGCCCTTAGTGCTGTTAAGATGTTTGAGGCCTCAGGCTCTTAACATGCAGAGCCCAGCATTGTGGAAGAAGATGTAATCATACACACTCATGGTCCATTTCGTCCCTCTCTGAATTAGTTTAACACCCTTAATGGGGAAGAGTTTCTTATGGCCACAGCAGCCCTTGCTTGTGGGAGGGGGTTGTCCTTTCTCAGGCTCCCTCTGCAGCCTCCCTTTACTCTAGCTGCTTCTGTCTGCACAGCTGACCCTCTTCTTTCTGCACAGGATGTTTTCTTGATCTGCTTCTCCCTTGTGAGTCCAGCCTCCTTTGAGAATGTCCGAGCTAAGGTAAAGTATTCTCCTCCTGGGTGAAACAGTAGAAGGGAAGGACCAGTGACATTCCCTGCCCCACCCAGCACCACACCTACAAGCCCAAAACTTCAAGCAGTAGTGTTTTGGTGAAGGAAAATCATAGTCTGCAGGTTTTAAGTGGAGCCTGCTTTTTATTAATGACTTCTTTGGCTAAGTTATTGCCTTTCTGATTCTATGTTTTAAGATAAGGGATATCTTAGAAGCTAACATGCAGTTAAGGAAAGCACTGTGCACAGTGTTGGCTGGCAGTGTCTGTCAGGATTCTCTGTCTTGGTGAGTTCATTATTACATCTGCACCAGTCTCTTTTTGCAGAGCATATCAGAACTGTAGGAGCAGTATCCTATTCAGGTGTTGCCACCATGTCAGTGGTGAACCTCTTCATTCCCAATGGTAGAAATGGATCTTTATGGTTATGGCCACTCATATAACTACTTTTCTCATCATGCCTCTCTGTTTCAGTGGTACCCTGAGGTCCGACACCATTGCCCAAATACACCTATTATCCTGGTGGGCACCAAGCTGGACTTGAGGGATGATAAGGACACCATTGAAAGGTTACGTGATAAGAAACTGGCCCCCATCACCTATCCTCAAGGCTTGGCCATGGCTCGGGAGATCGGTGAGTCGCGTGAGCAGGCGGGGAGTGGGTGAGCGACGGTGCGAGGTGGTGGAACTGGAGTGCTTGAGCAGCAGCTCTCTTTCCCCAGGGTCAGTAAAGTACCTCGAATGCTCTGCCCTGACGCAGCGGGGCTTGAAGACGGTGTTTGATGAAGCCATCCGGGCTGTGCTCTGCCCACCGCCTGTGAAGAAGCCTGGCAAAAAGTGTACCATGTTTTGAGGGCTGTGGCCTTGGTGTTGGCTCAGCATGCTGTCATCCTCTGACAGATTGCATATTAAGCTGGGTGTTTCTGAAGGGGGCTGGGATGTGTAGGGCCCTTCATCATGTACGAAGTCAGTGTTTTTTAAATGTCTCTTTGATTTAACGTCAGTGTTGATGTGAAGGGGCAGTGGGGACAGGAGACCAGCTGGGGACTATACAGCCCCCAGGGGAGGTACAGCGGGGAAGGCAAGGTAGCTCCTTCAGGCAACAAGCTGTTTTGGCTCTCCTGAACTCCAAGTGGAAAGGGCTGGGACATCCATCCTGTTCTGGAAACACCTGTTTTCAACCTGCAGGTGAAACAGGTGGTGAACATCGTGGTGGGAGTAGGGAGGGAGCTGATTTCAATGGTGCTGAAAGACAAGAGTAGCTGGGAGGATGGCAGGGTCTCCTTGCCCAGCCTGCTGTGGCTAACAGTTAACAAACTGGTGCTCTAGCAGAGTGTTCCTAAGACTGTTAGAAAAATCATAACCAGCCCTGGAAGGGGTCAGAGTAAATGAGAAGCTGAAAAATGAATCATGAGGTGCTTTATTGGGTACTAGCCAAACTCTGTGAGTGAAACAGCTCTGTGCAATCAATGCATTTGCCTTTTTGTGTGTGCACACCCTAGGACAGCATGGTGCTGCTTCCCCCCATTAGTCTTTAGCAGGGCCTCCCCCCAAAATCCAGTCTCTGCAGAGCAGGGCTGGGGTTGTTGCCTCTATTTTTTTTTTTTTTCTACTAAAGACAACAAAGGAAGCAGTGAGGAGTCTGCTAACTTCTTTCCCTTCCCACTGAAAATGCAGACAGACTCTGGATTTGAATGGAACAGGGAGAGCTTCTGAAGGGTTGTGGGGGGGGAACAGGGTTGGAAGAGAGGTCCAATTTCTAATCATCATGTAGAGTGATAAGATAAAACCTTATTTGGTGCAATAAACATTCTCCATGAAGGTGTATGTGAGCTTTATTATATAGCAGCCTTGCAAAGCTGATTTTCTGCCTCACTTCTAATACAGTCTTCAGCCCTGCTGCCCCTTCAGCAAGAAGTGAGTCATTGTTTTCTATCCAGTTTACATTTAGGCAGTATTAATATAAAAATTGAGGCCAGATGTGAAATGCAGGTGTCATCTTAGGAGACAAGAAAGCCCCCGTCAATCATCAGTGAGCTGCCAGTTGTCATAGCACTCTTGTCACTCAGCAGGAAGAGAATGCTGTTCACCACATCATCCACCTCTGCAATCAAACACAGAGAACATATGATGCCCACCTAAAGTGTATCAGAAAAAGAAGCACTTAAAAAGGTCTGCCTTTGACATCTACAGGTAATCAGAGCTGGAAAATGTTTCTGCCTTCAAACTGTGCTTGATGAAGTGTCTGGGACAGTGTGGCTGAGAGCTGGACATCAAAGTGTCCTTGTGATCAAATGGCGCTTAGGTGACAGCAAACACTCTGTCAGGTTTATGACTGTAGAAAAAGCGAGAGGAGGGTTGATTCTCACCCTGTCCTGATCAAATACTGCAGGAATTCAGCCAAAAGGCATTCAGCAGAGCTGTCACTTTGCCCAAAAATCAGCAACTTCCAGCTGTGATGTCAGTGAGAAGGCAGGCTTGGAGAAAACATGAGAGCACAGCCTGGGGACACACATACATCACTGACCTGCAAACTTTCCCAGGGGAATCCGATTAATCATGGCAGCAGATTTCTGAGGGTCACTCCAGTTAATTCTCCCCATGTCAGTCATAACCACGGTGGGGTTCACAGTGTTCACCCTAATCTGGGACCAGGAACAACAAACAGTCTCATCCAGCTGCTGTGCTTGTGCTCAGGTTCAGCTTTCACACTTTTCTCTCACAGACTCCTACCTTGTGGGGTCCCAGTTCCATTGCCATTACTTTGCTCAGCATATCCAGAGCACTTTTTGTGGAACCTTTATGAGAAGGGAAGAAGAGGAGATGTTTAACTGCACAGCACCTGGTCTGGAGGTGCTATGGAACACGCTGCCCAAAACTGGCAGCTTGCTGACTGTGGGTGTCCAGCTGGTCAAACCTGAGAGGGGCACTGCTAAAGCTGCACACACTCACAGTAAACAGCATGATCCCTCAGTGCACGCTTCGATGCCTGGCTGGAGACATTCACAATGGCCCCTGGCACCCCTTGTGCAATCATCTGCCGAACAACTATCTGGGAGGGGAAGGAGAGAAAAAAATAAAATAATGCCAGAATCCTAACAAGAGAAATCATTATTTCACTCCATAGGAATCTTGCTGGGCTATTATGGTAGACCAAAGAACAAAAACATCTGGAGGAACCAAGCCCTCACTGCCTCCTGCTTACAGGAGAGTCAAAGCAAGAGTATGAAGGGACTGTACATGTAATTTCTTGGATTGACTTTCGACTGCAGTCCTTTCAGGCCCCACAGCAGACACAAACCGCTCTATGTACAACAGTTTAATCACTGCTATTCATGGAGGCAGCTGCAGTGACAGTTCTTCCTCACCTGGGAAACATGAAGCACAGCCCCAAAATTCACATCAAGAGACCTACAAATAAATCAAATTTAAGTTACCAAGTGGTTGTAAGCCAGCCCAGGGAGCTGTTCCGGGAGGCAGCAGAGGGCAAGTGCTGCTGCTGCTGTCTTGGAAACACTGGTGATATTCCAGGACATGGACAGAGATGCCAAGTTGTCAGGAGAGCCAGAATGGTCAGGTGGGATCTCAACAGTGAACCAGAACTATCCATTGGCTGTAAGCCTGTCACTGTGTGAGGAGGTGCACGCATGCATCAGGTGCATTTTGTACAGGACTCTGCTCTTCTGCAGTGTAATAGAATTCCTCTGTCAAAGTTTAAACAGAACCCTGGGCTTCAGCCAGGGTAGATGACTCTTAGGTCAAGCAAACCCTTCACACAGATTTACAAAGCAAAGTTGCTGTAAGGTGGGAAGAGGCAGCATTTCTTCTGTTTGCCACAACAGAAGATTCCTTAGGCTTCCACCTGCCAGTTCTGCAGAATGATCTTAGTAGAATCCATATATTTGACATTCTAGTCACAAACCTTTATTGTAGATTCTTAACAACCGTTTTTAATGCATGGACACAGCATGACTCATTTTCTCAGAAGGATGTGGTCAATATAGCCTGTATCCTAAAGCATACTCACAACAAAACTATGGACCTTTTCAGAGAATAAAGAAGTCATGTTATTGTAGTTAACAAATTTAATTTCCCACCCTTACCATTTTTTGCTTCCTTACCTGGCTTTGTTGTCTCTATTTCTGAGTTGTCTTAGCAACAACTGCCTTTCAATTTAACCGAGCTGGAACTAGACTGGAAGCTCTGAGCCTGATGAGCAGAAAGGCACTCTCCTGCCTTGCCAGCGGGATGGCAGGTGTACCCCACCGTTCTGGAGGTGACACTGAAGGTTCTGGCTACTTAGAAATGGATGTAAGGGCCAGTGCTTTGTTTCCTTTTGCTGTTTAAAGGGTGAAAGGTGATGATGTAAAGGATGAAAAGACAGTAAAGAAAAAGGACATACGGAGTAACAGTCGACCACTGGGCATTGCTAAAAGTGCGTATGTCAGCCTGTCCAGTGTGTCTATACACCAGCTGCTGACTTTGTTCTTTCCAGCTGCTTCCCCTCTAGTGCCACCCTTTTCTGGAAAGCTCTGCCGCCGTTTTTGACGTTCAGAGCTTGGTGAGACCTCGGCGGGCATCGGCCCCAGAGCTCCCCGTGGAGCTGCGGTGCCGTGCGGGCCGGGCCCGGGCACTCACCGCTGTAGGGCCGAGCGCGTCACCTGCAGGAACGGCTGCAGCTCCGCCACGGCCGCGTTGTTCACCAGCAGCTCGAACGGCCCCGCCGCGCCCAGCGCCGCCTCCACGGCCTCCCAGTCCGCCAGGTCCACGCACAGGGTCTCGATGCCCGGGCACTGCGGCGAGGGCGGCCGCGGTGGGCGGGGGTCGGTGCGGGGTTATGGGGACGGGAGGGGGCAGGTGGAGGGGGCCGGTACCGGTACCTCCCGCGCCAGGCTCTCCAGGTCCGCCGCCGTTCGGCTCAGCGCGGTCACGCGGGCCCCGGCCCTGCCCAGCGCCACGGCCACGGCGCGGCCGATCCCTGCAGGGACACGGCGTCAGACCGGCCCGGCCACGGCCTCGCAGATCCCTGCGGGGACACGGCGTCAGACCGGCCCGGCCCGACCCCCGCCCCGGCCCTCCGCCTGCGGACACCTTTGCCGGCCCCGGTCACCAGGGCCCGGCGGCCGCGGAAGCTGAGATGCTGCTCCATGTCTCGGCCGGACTGTGGCCGGGGCGGGCCCGGGCCCGGGGCGGGCCGGGAGCGGGGCGGCCCCAGCGAGCCGGGCCATCTTTCCCCGCCTCCGCCGAGGGAGCGCAGCACGAAGCTGGCTCCAGGCTCATCCAGCGAGACAGGCAGAAGTGAAGTTTCGTGGCTCTCACTCGTGATTGACGTTTCCTTTTAGCGACCACAGAAAAACAGGCTTTTTTAGAGTCTGATGAAAAAATCCTGCAGCTCTGCCCCATCGAAGTTGCTGCTGAAGATGACAATTAAAATCCTTATTATCTCAATTCTTTGATTGTACTGTTAAGAAGCAGCTGCAAGGATTCTTCTCATCCACCTCTGTTCTCCACAGCCCAGTCATTGACCTTGTTTTTTTGGCCCTTGGCATCACATAAGCCTGACAGGAGGGCATAGTTTTCTGAATTACTGGGTTTAAGGTCCATTTTTATACAGAGCACACGTGAAGAAATATGACAAAACACAGCCTTTGACATATTTAAATATTTATTTTATAGAATCACTTTATGTATGAAAAAGTAGTTTGATAAAAAAGCTGCATCCTGATAGATCCACACAGCTTAATGCATTCTCAACACAAGAAACCTTGGAATGAGCCTGAACACACTGAAGTTTCCTGTTGCCCTGCAGGAGAACGTGGTTCTTTTTAAGTTCCATAAACATCCTCCCAGCTTTGAGGGCACTTGCCTCTTTGGCATACCTAGTGTGACCAGTGACCAGTGTGAAACTTCTACCATTTAGTTTTGCTGCCATCAATATAAAGTGTTGTGGTTTTTTAAACTGCAGTTTGCCACAATTGCTGCCCAGTTCTTGCTTGATCTCTGTTGTCTTACAAAAGGGTGCTTCCAGTGGAAGGGGAAGAAGATTTCCAAGAGGAGAGTTCAGAAGCAGTGCTTGAAGACAAAATCACCTCAAGAGCTCATGAAGTTTCACAGTTTTCTGCTACAGGACTTTAAAACCATATTAAAAAACCACATGCATACCAGGAATCTCCAGAACTATTAATGACAAAATAATTAAACCACAGGATGCCTCAATTCTAGTTAGCAGAAGATCTAATAAAGAGGTAGAACCTACTATGCCACAAATCCTCCTCTGTTTTCTGTGACAGGCACACCTGTAACACTGACAGCCCATTATGGAACAGCCAGTGTGCTAGCTGGGCTTTGATCCAGCTCCCTGCAGCTTTCTCATTTCCATACCTCATGTGTACCTTAGTACACATGATAGGAAGGAGAAATACAAGAATGAGCTGCAGGACTGTAGTAAGTAGCCGTCAGCTTGTTTGCTCCTCAGCAGAACTACCTAAAATCATGCAAAGAGGACAATGTACTGAGGTAAACACTGAAAGGTTTGTTAAAATGCAGGGAACATTGAGGAGGCTGACCCCTGTGCTAAGTGGCACACTTGAATACTCTACAGGCATTTGCTAGGAAGTTAAATAACTAGGTGAACCCCACAGTACAGCTGAGTGCAGCCATTTAGAAACCTGAAACCTCTGCTAGATCCACAATCAAGCTAACAATCACAGCTCCAGATCATACAATAGCCTTCTATTATTCTTCCCTTAATTTGGCCTCAAACTCTAGCACTAAACCAGCAAGTATTTTTTATAAGAGTAAACAGTGATTTTGCAAAGGAATATTTTTGTAATGTATTCTTCGGGTCAGGCAGGGTTTGTGCATGGCCAGAGTCTGGGCTAACAAAAAAGTAAACATATGGAGCCCCATTCCTTCCACTTTAAAACTTTAGTTTGCTTTCTTTAAAAAGCAGCAGCAGATGATGCTGCTAGAGCACTGAACTTCTGCTTGTAAATGTGCAATCTCCTTTTAGTGACTGCATGAACTACTTGTTGAATTATTAAGGAGTAAAAACAAGCACTGATCTTGGCTTTATGGTAATTAAAAGATTATCTGAAGAAGCTGGAGTAACCCTGAAGAAGCTGGAGTAACCATGGCCATACCATTAAAGGTCCTCAAATGATACCATCAAAACTCTCCTTGGTGCATTGCTGCTATCTAGCATTTCTACCCTCTCACGCTTCAGAAACACAGCATGTTTTGCCAGCTCAAGCTTCCCCAGCTCATGTGACCAACTACCAGCCAAGCAGGAGGAACAATTACCATCTTGTCAGGCAAATATTTTTTCAATATCAAATATCAAGGGAATAGATTATAATCATCAACCATTGCAATTCAGTTGGCATGCGAGCCAGGTCTGACGATTACCTCCACAGGAGGTACACATGGATGACAGGGGAGAATGTACATTGTAAGCAACTCATCTAGTCTTGAGTAAGCTTACCCTCACACAGGGTTTTCTCATGACAAAGGCTTTCAGCCTTGTTTACCCTAGTGATTCCAGGATTTCTGTATTCTAGCCAGCTGCAGTTTTTATCTGTCAGGCCACAGAAGCTCTTAAATAATTCTGTTTCCAAGAAAGACAAGTGAAAACTTCCCCTCTCTTGTCACCATGGGGACTACAGTCTGCTCTAGCACTCCAGCTTCAACACAGTGGCTTCTAATAACCCCTAAGGGTAGTAAAAACACTCTCGCTCCCAGTACTGCATTTGCCTCAGATGTGCCCAAGCACAGGTTCACATGACATCAAATGAAAGTATGAAGTGACTCATACACACAGGACTGTGGTCATCTTATGAAGAGCCACTAGACAAAAGAACAAAGATTCTTCCTGGAATGTCCCAGGCTGCAGCTGAACAAACCATACCTTATTGCTTTTCTAAGCAGAGTCTGTCTACCTCCTTTGTAGATACCACTGGTTGTCTCCCAGAAGAAGAATAAAACCACCAAAAACTCTGCAACTCCTGCCTTATGCAAACTAGCTAAGACACAGGTGTCAGTGGCTCGTCAAGAATTATGACATCTTCTTAGCAGGGCACCAAATAGTGTCAGGGTAAAGCAGACAATGGACAGATTTAAATCTATATTTAAAAAAAAAAAAAAAAAAAAAAAGACAGCATTAGATTGGAATTCTCCATACATGGGACATACTAGCATTGAATGTGCAGCAGACTGATGGAGCAGGGGGTGCATCTACCTGCTTTTGGCACAGTAACAAGCTGACACGACAAAATAAACCCATTAGTGGGTCTGATCATGTTACAGATGACTAACATGAACAAGGTAGGAAGACCTTGTTTTGGAAGAGGACACTAACCTGGTTGGATCTTGCTGAAGGCCAAACACTCCTCCCACGCTAACAACATTGTGTTTGTTCTCAGGGTCACCATAACTCAGGGTTACCTGTAAAAAATAAGGAAGTATTCAAAACTTGTAACACTAATGCAGAAAACCAGAGTGGAGTAGCAGGGTTATTAATGAGGTACCAAGAAAGTCTCCAAAGATGCTGTCTAATCTGAACATGGATGACATTTGGAGGACAGTGATTAGTTCCGACGTAAGCAACGCTGGCACTGAATGACACTAAGGGCAACGTGGGAGAATACACAGGACAAGATGAATTTCAACTGTAAGCTTTGTAAGGACATGAATTCTGCTACTGTTTGTACCTTCACTAAATAACATGTTCATCCTTACCAGACATTGCCTGAAGTCTGCAATAGCAATATTTTAGCACAGGGGAAAATATAAATATTTGCATATTAAGTAGCATAGAAAGGATTGTCATGTTTCAAATCTGAAACAAAGTTTAGATCTTTGGAACCCCAGGTTCCTCCACACAAGCACTGCATTAAGAATTTTTCATGTGTCATGTGCAAGAAGACTTGTATTTTCTTTGCAATTGTACATTTCCTGGGTTTTGGGTTAGCTATCTTCGTCTCATGGAACCAATGATGACCAGTGAAACAATGGCCAGTTGTTGAACTGTTGCTACAGTCAAATTCACTAACATAAAGGGAGGTGACATCACGGTGGAATTTGGCCCCAAGCAAACATTTCTGCTGCCTAATACAATTGCCAGAAAAATATAACCACCCAGCATGCAGGGGAAAACCACACTCCTGTTTACTCATGGTGCCAAGCAGTGTGATGCAGGCAACACTGCTGGATGGCCTTGTGGCTCCATCTGCTGCCAGGGAGGTAAAATGTAGCCCAGCAACTAAAAAGCAAATTGATTTTTCAGAAGCAACTTTAAGTTTCATGAGATTCATACAAATTGTTCTTTAAAATTATTAACATTTAGTTATGTTAAGTACTTATACAGCTGCCTTTCTGAAGAGCATGGATTAAGACTGCAACTTTGTTAGGCAAATCCAGGAACACTATTTAGCAAACTTCTACACTTTCTGCTACAGCTACATGCAAAAAATCAAGGTTTAGGAGGAGATGAGGTACACCCTACCTAGGCTTCATGTAGCAGAATGTGTCCCCAAAGGAGGGGACAGCTACATGTCCTAGTTGGCTAGAGTGAAACAGTGCTTTTCACCGAAATGAAGGAATTGAGCAAGTCACAGCTCTGAGTGAGTCTGTAGATATCCTTCTTTGCTGAAGAGTGCTAAGTCTACATAGTCTGTTCTTTCTGATCAGACTGAGGTGTAACTATAAGAACAGGATATGAAGCATAGCTCTACCTGCTGCAGAACAGACTCCCCTTGCAGTCTCTGCAGATTTTCCAGGTGGGAGTGGAACAATGGGCTGTGCAGCAGCTTTACCTCCAGCAGCCCTTCGATGATGTAGCCAATGGTGCAGTCGTCAGGAAGACGTACTCTTTCTGCAGTACTAATGAAATTGCCCAGGCTGTGACAGAGAGCATAGGAGACAAGCCAAAATGTGTTTTAAAACCTCCCAGACATGTATTGATGGAGCTCAGCTAGGGACAATGCTTACCTGGCCCAGGGACTCATCTTCAGGGCAAGACCTCGGCTGATACAGAACCCAGCTCCACCTGTGGCAAACCAGAATTTCACCGTTGTCTTCTGAAGAGCAAAAAAAAAAAAAAAAAAACCCACATAGCAATTACTGACAATCAGCTTTTTGCAATTCGCTGGGCAGGGAAGGGAACTCAAGGTTCTATTTCATATCAAATATTACATCTGAGTCAGAACAAGCCTACAGATTAATCCCTATTTGTTTAGGCTGCTGAAAGCAGCTAGCTGTTCTCTCAAATGAAACTATCTTGAAACAGACAGCAGGTAAACCATCAAATTAGCATATGGGAGGTAGCTCACATGAATGGATAGTCCCACTTCCACACAATTACATCTGTCCTCTATTCATTTTAACCAAGGGTCATAGCCAGCTCAGTGTTACTGAGGATGTCAAAGGTGGTCCATATATATATTGGCTCTATGTCCAAGGAGACTATTTTGTTGTGCAGTCTTCCCTAACAAGCTGCTTTATAACTTTTTATGCCGTTCTGGCCAGTGGATTGATATATCTTTAAACAGACCTGCCAGTGCAGGTGACCTGGCTAGGATTTTCTCCTTAGCACATGTATCTTGTGGTTGAGATATGTTTGCTTCTGGTTCTTGGAAACCTAATAACCACTTTATATTGCAAATGATTTATCTATCCAGAAAGCTTCTGTCACCCATGTGAAGTTGGTTAAAGATGATGACAATGTGTGTGATACTGCACTCAAAACAAATTAAAAACCCCTTGAACTCCCACCCAAACTCCCAAGTCCTAAAATAAGGAACATTGCCCCCACAGCCACTAAAGGAAAAGTATAAGTCAAGGTGGGGAGGCCCTACTAAGCTCAGTGTGAGGGAGATCGCAGCATGCATGAGTAAAGGCACAGAAACAGCCAGCCATCCAGAAGAAAACCTCCATTGTGCATATGTATGCACACAACATCAGGCTGAAGGTGCATTTAACTCAGCATCCTGCCTCTGAAAATGACCATCACTAGGTTCATTTCTTGCAGATTAAATCCCTTGGGTTTATGGGGGAATCCTATGAATTGTCAAGGTTTTAAAGGCTTAGAAGATTGGAATGTCTCTCAGGCAAACTGAAAAAGTTTGCTTACTGATCCATCACTTTGGACATGGTCAGCTGCTTCGATGGGATGGTCCAGGCTCGGTCGCCCCACATACACATCCTGGCTGTGTGAGAAAGCAGACAGGAGATGCAGAAGAGTCCGAGGGTTCACATAGTTGTCATCATCCACATGGCAAAACCATCTTCAAACAAAACAAATCAAGAAATTATAGGGACAAAGAAATGAGTTATAAGTTTACAACTGAGTCATAGTCTTTCAGGCTTGGAGCAGAAAGTATTCCTTATTGTCCCAAATTACAGAATAGGGAAGATGAAAGCACCCACAGATGCTAAATCTGCAAAGAGGCTGAAATTAATAACTTCCTTAGATTATAATCCTTTCCACTTTTCAAATGACGCTTGTTTATAAACACTGCTTCATGCTGTGCTCCCTCTCCTGCACTCATCCCTACATTTTAGCTAATACTACATTCCTTACCGGAACAGAGATGGTTACTCAAGTTTCCTGTAAGCACAGAACTGGAAGAAACAAAGTCAATCGGAACAATGTGTTTCACTTACTTTTGCCCAGATTCCAGGAATTTATCATATTCCACAGACATCTTGCAGCAGAGAGCTTGCCGGGTATGGACAGCAGAACAGTTGGTGTTGATCATATGATCCCCTAGAAGAATAAAGATCAGCCCTTTCAGGTCTGAGGAGCATGTGTAGTCAAAAAAGACTACAAAAGAAGTGCACATTTGGCACTAATACTGTACATGGTGCATGCATGGAGAAGAAGCTGCAGGACAGGCAGGGCTCACAGGTCGCCCCACATACACATCCTGGCGTGTAAGCTGCAGAGTCATGAAACTGTGTGACTGCATTAAAACAAGCAAGGGTATATAAGCAATGTCATGAGATGTGTGTGAAAGAAATACCTACTATGACTTGGAACCACATAAGCTTAAGTTTACTGACAAGAAGAAAAGGGGTGCAAAAGTGAACCCAGTATTCTGGAAGTTCCAGGCGTCTTGTCCAGGTGCCAATTAGAGAGAAGTTTTCTCTATTTTCTCCACCTTAACTTCCCTAGTTGCTTGTATAGCATGAAATAAGGACTTCTATAGAGAGTATGAAAGAAACAAAACTCAGTTATAATACATAGCATGCACCCCTGCTGCTACACAGCTCACCTGCCTTCAGGCGTAGCTCCCGATCCTCCCAGTCTGTGAATATAAATGTCTGTGGGAGACAAAAACCGTGTGTCCACATCAAGAACTTCAGATTCTAATTTTAAATTTGCTCAGTTTCAGTTAGAATTCAGAGTGTTTTGTCTCTCTTGGTAGTTTGTTTCACAATAGCCACTGGAAAGGGGAAAGGAGTAGGGGTGCAGAGACCCCCCAGCAACTTCAACCCCTGCCTTATTTGTTACATTTTTTCATTACAAACCAGAATAATGTCATTTTAATAAAGCAGGCTGCATTTTACCCTCCTTGTCTGATGGTACAGACAACTGATTTCCAGACAGAAAGGATTTTGGTCTTTTTTTGGTACTACCTCCTCTCTCTGGCTAGGAATCATCCACAGCTGCCAAGCAGGTAAAGAAGAAAAAATGGAAGTCAGGGTGGGAAGTGGGAGGTGGTTAACACAGTCTTGTTCCAATGGCTGGATAAAATCCCATTAATATACTTGAACGGACCAAAATTCTGAAACAAGGGAACTAACTTGACCTACAGAAAAGCTTAAGTACTTAGTCCAACATATTAGCTTAGATGCATCATCATTTCACTATCATGAAAGCACTTTCTACAGTAATACAAAAATCAGCAAACTATGTCTGCTTGGACTACCGATCCCATGTTGCAAGTAACTGGCCTAATCAGCAACGAACTCTTTTGGAAGTATGTTCACACTAAGCGTTTATATAAAACGACTTTCCACAGTCTTACAAAGAAAGTCTTTTTTAACATAAGAGTGAAAAACTCGGTGGGAGCGCACTCGCTGTCCTGGAAGCGCAGGGCCGGAGCTGCCGGCTGCCCCTGCCCGCTGGCAAAGTCTCTCACCTGTCCTCTCGCCTGGGAGATCCAGGTTTGGAGGAGCAAGTCCAGCCGGCTCCTATGGTATTTCCTCGTGGTCTTCACGGCAATGAAGATGTCCTTCAGCTCCAGGTTCTCCCTGGCCGCGCTGCCGGCATTCCCGAGACGGCCCCTCCGCGCAAGCTGCGAGCTCCCCGCGAGCCCGCCGGCCCCGGGCCCGCCGCCCGGCGCTCCAGCAGAGCCGGCGGGGCCCGCGCGGTGCGGCGGGGCCGCGCTGGGCCCGGCGGGGCGCGGCGGGCGGGGCGCGGCGGGGCGCGGCCCCCGCGGCAGCAGCAGCAACAGGAGCGCGGCGGCGCCCAGCGACAGCAGAACCCCGGCCCTGCGCAGCCCCAGGCAAGGACCGCTCATGCTGCAGCCCCGCGGGCCCCCGCCGCAGGGTGCGGCCACCGCATGGCCCCGCACTCCGGGAGGTGGCGGCGGCCCCGCGGAAGGAGCGCCCGGAGGTCGTCGAGCCGCCGCCGCGGGGCCGCGGCCCCTTTAAGAGCTTCACCTGTCGGCCGCGGCCTCGCCGCGACGCGCGGCCCGGAAACGGAAGCGGAGCGGGAGGGGCGGGCGGCCGGAAGCGGTGGCGTGAGGGGAGGATGCCGCTGCCCGTCCAGGTCTTTAACCTGCAGGTATGGGGCGGCCGCGTCCCGCCGGCCCGGCCCCTCGAGCCTTGCCGCGCTCCGCCGCGTTCCGCGTCCCTCCCGCGCAGGGTCTGAGACCCCTGCTCGGCCGCGGCCTCCGGGGGCGCCGTGCGGCCTTCTCCTTGCGCTCCACGGACATGGAGCGGCTTTCGGCTGGCCTTGGGCCTTCGCTCGCCCTTCCGTCGGGTCTGTGTCTCTTCCGCCGCCGTTCGCGAGGAGCAATGCTCCGCCGAGCATCCTCCGGCACCCGTGGCGTCCCCGTCGCTGCGGTGGCCCTGTGTTTGGTCCCCGCCATGGGTAGGGCTGGAGTGGTAGCGGAGGCTACGGTGAGGTGGCCCAGTGAGGAGGAACTGAGAGTCTGTAGTGCAGGGAAAGCCCCGGGAGCGCCGAGGGGGTCGGTGACACGAGGTACCTGCGGAGGCTGTCCTTTGCAAGTTTTAGCAGTAGCGTATCTGTGTCAGGGCGCGGGGCTTTGGGCAGAGAGGACGAGGGACGGCTCAGCATCCAACTCGGCTCCTTCATTAGTAATAGATCTGTACTGCACTCCGTCCAGCAGCAGATCACACCTATTCCTGCCGAGTACAGCAGGAGACTTCAGCTCAGGCACCAGCATATCTGCTTATGTGAGGCCTGGTGAGGTACCCTCAGCAGAGCAGCCCTTGGGGCTTAGGAAATCTTGGGGAGTGGCTGTTTATTATTTGCTCTGTGAGTAGTTTTTGAGTTGACATTGCATCTTCCTTTCAAAATAAAGAGCTTGAAAATGTTTGAGTTTGCTTGTCCTACTGGGGCTTTCAGCCCACTTGTGTTTTTCCTTGTCTGGGAGTTAAGTGAGAAATGCAGAGTGCAGACTCTCAGTGTAGCAAGACACAAATTGTTCTGTTCCACCAGCTGGAATTACAGTTACCATTTTTGCTGTTTTCTAAGGAGTCTGTAATTGAGTTTTTACTATGGTAGGCAAGTGCCGCCTAAACAAACTAACCTTGGCACTTAGTGTTTGTGATATAAGAAAAGATAAAAGGTAGATAAAAGTGGGAAAAGTAGTGGTCTCAGCATATGTTGAATTGCCTGTTTTTATGCGGAATTTGCCTGAGGGGTGGTCTAAACAACCAAAATTTCCTCTGTGCCCTCCCTGTCTCCCTTTCTTTCATGGAAAGGTTAGTAAACTAGGAAACAGATGGTTTTGTGCTTCACTTGCTTTTACTTCAGATTTTGGGAGATTTCAGTGGTGAGATGTGTATTTGATATGTATCAGTTTGTGAAAGAATAAGCCCTCCAGACTGGGTGAGTGTAATTTTTAGAGATAGGAAATCTGCATCTGCCCTGTTCCTTGTCACAAAACAACCCAACTAAACAATCAACCCAGTCCAAAAAACCCTCAATCTTTGATTTCTTGTCAGTAAAATCAGTAAAAATATGGAGATAATCAGATGTGTATGGGGGCAAGGTGGTTGGCATGTCTGTCTTTTGTGAGATCCCCTTTTGCAAATCAAGCTTATATACTGTGTGCACAAAGTCAGCATTTTATAAGCAGACAGTCTGCTAAGTTTTCCTCACTTTATTTCCTCACAGTAATTTCTAGGAGGACTGTTCAGCACACTTGGACTAGGAGGAGACAATGAATTTTGTGCCAGCAGAGCAGTTAGTTTGTGGAATGGGATAGCAAGCTGGTCTTACCTGGAGTACATGCAGGAGCTGAAGCAATGCAGCTGTGCCAAAGTCACTGCATTGCTGTGAGTCCTTATGGCTCAAAGCAGTGCAGGATATACTGGGAGAATAAAATTCTGTTGTTTCTCCAAAGAGGCTCTATCCGAGCAATTGAACTTGAAAACTATAGTAAGATAGTTTGACTAATGACACATCCCTGCAGTGCAGTCAAATTGTTCCTTGCTATGTTGGAAACTCTGAAGTTGTCATTTGGTGTTCTGTTCTTTATGGCTTTTAATACTTCTAAGAAGTTTAACAATATTTGCCTCTTCCCTCCCCCCCCCCCCCCCCCCCGAAATATTATTTCTAAGCATTAAAGCAATTTTGAAAGGTTGTGGTGAGTTCTTGGGTACATTTTGCCTTTTGGAACTTCTTGATCTGAGTGTTAACACCTGGTCTTGCTCAGGGAAGAGAAATGGAATGCATATGCATGCCTCACATACTTTGTAGAATCAGATTATTTGACCCCTTCATTTTTTTGCTTGATAATTTACCAAGCCAAATAAACTGCTCTGTGTGAATGCTAAGCCATACTGCTGCTTGCATTAGACCAAGCATCATGCTGACTGGTGGTGCTGCTAGAGAAAAGTCCTAAGCATATATCAAAAGACTGAGGAGTGCTTTTTCATTTTTAAAATTTAACACATATTTAAGCAAGTCTTTAGTAAATTGAATAACATATAAGCTGCTTTTGACCTTGTTTTGCTCTTTTAGGGTGCAGTGGAGCCCATGCAGATTGACGTAGATCCACAAGAAGATCAGCAAAATTCACCTGATATCAACTATGTGGTGGAGAACCCCACGCTGGTACGTGCTGCTGAGGGCTATGGGTACATTTCTTGCCCATGGTCTCTTCCTTGAAGAATTTTGAAAAAGACCCTTCTGAAAAAATCTTAACGCTGGTTAGTCTTAAACACAAAGGCATCACAACTGAAATTTTCAAATAGTAAATTGTAGTGTAGAGCATATTTCTGAGGAAATTACTTATATTTGAAGAAAGCAGACATGGACTAATCTTACTGATTTTTGTTTGCCCTCCTTGAGGGGGTCAGGTCTGCAGGAAAAGCTGTGCAGGTCACAGTGCAGTAGGCTGATGTAGTGTGTCCATTTTCACCTTCTGAGGCCAGGTTTTGTTGGCAGGATTTGGAGCAGTATGCGTCCAGCTACAGTGGGCTGATGCGAATCGAGCGGCTGCAGTTCATCGCTGACCACTGCCCACAGCTGCGGGTGGAAGCTCTCAAGATGGCTCTATCATTTGTCCAGAGAACTTTTAATGTTGATGTGTATGAAGAAATCCACAGAAAGCTGTCTGAGGCCACGAGGTACTAAGAGGCCATGGGAACCTGGGGAGCTTTCCTGACGGAGTTAAGAGTGATGTGCTGCAATGGAGTACTTTGCATGCAATACCAGCACGTACCTTATGCAAATTATCTTCGCACTTAGAGTTAATAGCAGTGACATGTGTGTTCATGCTTTTTTAAAAGATAGAGCACAGAAGGCATTATCTCATTCTGAAATCTTTGTGCTTTTAAAAGCTGCAGGTAGATATTGAGGTGAGTTTAGTCCTTGCAACTGCCTCAAATATTAATGAATAAATTTGTTTTTCCTGAGGCAGATTATGGAGACATGTTCTAGATGCTTTTGTTTTCATAAGTTAATACCTAATCTAACTCTTTGCCTTGTTTTGGTTTATTGTTTCCTTTCTCTCCCCCACTCTAGAAAGAGGCTTGATGTTAAGGATCACCTTTAATATCTCACTTATACATCCACGCTTCCCATCTTTGTATTATTTTTGTTGCTATGCTTATTTCATGATTTCTTGTCTGTTTTGCATGGGGAGTCTTTACCATGTGTGTGACAGTATATTTATCCTAAGATCATTAGGATAATTTTGTGAAGTATTTGTAAACATCTGTGATGCTTGTGTTACTGTTTGCGCTGGACATTTTAGCAATATGTTTCTTTTTCCCCACTACCTTTATTTTCTCTTTGGTCTATTTTGTGTATGCAGTACTGTTTGTTAGGGTAGCATTGCCAGGCACTTAGCAGACTTCTGTTTTGAAACATATTCAGCCTAATAGCCTCATTCAAATACTTTTCTTTCAGGGAACTGCAAAATACACCTGATGCTGTCCCTGATAGTGGAATTGAACCCCCTCCTCTTGACACAGCTTGGGTTGAAGCTACACGCAAGAAAGCTCTTCTTAAACTGGAGAAACTCGATACAGATTTGAAAAATTACAAAGGGAACTCCATCAAGGAGAGTATCAGGTGAGATGCAAAAGGCTCTTCTGGAGCAAGGAAGAGCATTTTGTTTCTCTGTAGTTGACATGGGATGTGCCCTTAGGTCAGTGTGTTGAGTTACTTGTTTAGAACAAACTGCCTTTGTCCGTTTCTGAGCATACACTTCACTGATGTTTTAATTCCCGTCCTCCAGGAGAGGCCACGATGATTTAGGTGATCATTACCTGGACTGTGGAGACCTCAGCAATGCTCTCAAGTGTTACTCGCGAGCCCGTGATTACTGCACCAGTGCTAAACATGTCATCAACATGTGTCTCAATGTTATCAAGGTAGGAGGATTTGCAGGCAGAGGTACCTGGTGTCTTTGTGATACCTGCTGTGAAGTTGCACCCCATCCTTGGCTCTTGTGTCCTCAATGATGCAGCTTAGCTGAGGAGTGCCGTTTATCTGTGCCTGCCCCACACTATTTCTGGCTCTCTACAGGTCAGTGTCTACCTCCAGAATTGGTCTCATGTTCTGAGCTATGTTAGCAAGGCTGAGTCTACACCAGAAATTGCAGAAGTAAGTTCCTGCTCTTTAACTTGCATACATTTTCCCTTTGTTTTCTGTTTCTAAATTTGTAAAATGATTTCTTCCTTTCCCCCTTTATGACTTCTCTCATGATGCACGTGTACAAAATCTGACTTATGGTAAAAATGGGTACTTCCTGTCCTCAGTTTTGCCATATTTCCCAAGAGAAATAAAATTAAGTTTTCTTGCCATTGAGATTGGCAAGTTAATTATCAGGGTGAAATATCCTGGGGACATTATCCTAGTTGTAAGCAAAATAGCTTTCATACTGCTTGCTCACTACTGCTTTGTTTTATGCTTTAGCAAAGAGGAG